GCTGCCACTGCAGCAGCCAAAGCAACAGGCAGCTATCTCAGTCCCCAAACCTCTATTTCCATCAACTTGCACTCTGAAAACTCTGAAGTAAACAGCGGAGTAGAGTTGAAGGAAGCCGAGGAGTAGCTGCGGCAGTGCGACAGATCCGCGTCCACCCACAAGGCGACCCTGCAGCAACCATCGAAAAATTGCAAAAAAGCAAAATAACAAATAGAGCTTCGAGATTGCAAGAAATAACAAAAATGCGAAAAGCAAAGGATCACCTGCACTTTCCCTGCAAACAACTGCCTCTGCAGAGTTGCAACAGGAAACAAGATAATGCAATGAAACGAAGCAGCCCCTGCTGCTTTGAAAGAGGAAAAAAAAGGATGCATGAAATAATAATCCGAAAATAGTACTACATACAACAATAATACAAACACAAGTTGCAAAATCAAGCACAGTCAAGCAGCATCAAGCTTAGCCAACAAAATTGAACTCCACGCCTTCAAGCTCATAAAGTAGTAAACGAAAAGTGAAGAGCAAAACAAATCAATAAAGGGCAAAAACAGAAGGATTCAATGAGGTCCAAAAAAGAAAGAAAAATCGAACAGGACAGATCGAAGAGATGGAGAAAACAAATAAGCAAAACGAAGAAACGAAACGCGATTGAATCAAAAGACTCAAAAGAGACAAGAAAAGGCGGCAAAAGGTGAAAAGATAAAGAGAAATGAGCGGGAAGTCAGTCAAAGAAGATTAACGAAAAGGAAAAAGAACTGAAAAGGGAAAAAAGAGGAAAGAACGGCGATTTATGAAATAAAAAAAGCAGAACGAGCTGAATGCGGAGAGGGAAAGAGAAAAATCTGAAAAGACCCAACGGGCTGCCTCGTTGGACGAATAGAAGCACAGAGCGAAGTGGAAAGAAAGAGGAGCCGAAAAGTCACAAAAAAGATAAAAAGAAACAAAAAAAGAGGAAAAAACGTAAAAAGGAAATCAAGAAATTACCCGTCGCTGCCCAGAAATATTCCGTCGCTGCGGACTCGCAGAAACGCCGAGTTTTTGCCGGTCCACCAAAAGGCGTTTGGCTTGGGGGTTAAAGTGAAGACAAAGGCATCACTGAGGTCTGTGCCTGGATAAAAAGAAGAAATAAAAGATAAAAATACTATTTCGAGACAAAATAAAACAAAAGATACCTTCTGCACTTGTCCAGATCGACAGCCGAGGGCGCAAAAAGGCAAAAACGAAAAAAGAAGCAGCAGCAGTTGGCAAAGCTGCACAGAAAGGCCACAAAAAGACCCAAAACAAAAAGCAGCCACAAATGCATCTTTTCTGAAGGCAAAAACCGACATAAGAACCTACAAAAACCCAGATAAAAGCCTTTCGATTTATTAATTTCGTGTTCCCCTTTCTGCCCTTGTTTGCTTTCATGTGTATAAATCTGTGTATGTCTGTGTAGATTAATTTGCGTCTTTATGACTGTTTATGAATGAATTTCAAAGCATCTTGGTGTACTGGTGTCAATGAATGAAGAACTCAAGCAAATTCCTACATATACATGTATACGTATATATATATATTATATATATTATCACACAGGTACAGGCAAATGTAGGTATAGGAGTTCATACATATATATACACAATATTACATATTTGGCATAAATACATACAACGTCGCGAAATCCCGCCTGCACACAACGGCTACAGGCATTAATATGCACAAATGCACACAAATGAGTATAAATGCATTCTAATGCATATTGCATGTACAGCCAGTGCAGATATAAACGCAGAAAAGTGCGGAAAGTGAATTTGTGAAGAGAATACCCTATTTGCCCCCACTGTAGGTACGCTGAAACTCGGCTAAACTCTGAAAAGAAGCGAACACAACTGCATGCATTTAATTGGATTTGCGCAAGTTGAACTCTCGAAAAGAAAGACAGAGCAGCAAAAGTGTGCAGGGCGGACAAGAGTTGGAGCTGTTTTTGTGGCTGCTGAAGACGACGGGGGAAAAGAAGCCAAAGCTTTCTCTGCCGTCTGTCGACGCGCAGAAGATGAAAGGATTAAAACAATTCGAGCAGCGAGTCGTCAAAGAAGACAAAGTGAAGCCGTCGCGTCTGCTGCTGAACACCAGCCACGGGGTCTGCAGCGCACGCAGCAGCACACAGGGTTTAGGGTTTAGGGTTTCGCAAAGGAGACAAACTCGCGGTCGCTCAGGGGCAACAGCTACACGCCCAGCCAGCTAGCCAGCTAGCGAGCTCTCCGGCTGGCTACTTGGCTAGCTAGCTAGCTGGGTAGCTGGCTAGTTGGCTAGCTAGCCGGCTGGCTAGTCGGCTAACTAGTTAGCTAGCTAGCGCGAGAACAATTAGGTTGATGGCTCGGTTTACAAGTGAGTAGCTTGAGACCTAGTTATGCATGTGCCAGCTAGCTAGCCAGCTAGCTAGTTAGCTAGCTGGCTAGCTAGGCAGCTGGCTAGCCAGCTATCTGGGAGAGGCCTTACTGCGCATCGTTGTATTTCTGGCAGCCAACGCCATATGGTTTCCCAAGTGCCCATGGAGCTGATGATGGTCGACTGGCCCTCAGGCTTTATGGTCAAGAACTCATGCTGCAAGCAAACCCAAACCCTAAACCCTAAACCCTAAACCCTAAACCCTCAAGGCTACAGCACAGAGCCTTACGAGCTCCGGAGAAAGACCCACACACGCCTGAACACGGGGCCTTTATTAGGCAGAAACTTAGGATGAAACCCTAGTTCTTAAGCTCTAAACCCTAAACCCTAACCCCTAAAGCGTGAAAGCTCACAATTTTCGTCGACATGAGGTAAGGGCTCTGCAATCCGGTGGACGCTTCCCTGAATTCAAAAACACGATTAAACTAAACTCTAAACCCTAATTCTTGAACTTGCGGCCTCTCTGGGCCAAAATGGAAAGAAATGTCTAAGGTTCAGGATTTAGGGTTCAAGGTTCCGGGATTGGGATTTAGGGTTTAGGCTTCGGGAAAACTGCCGACCCAAGGACCCTCCAGATATGTGTCTTGAGATTTCGGGCCGTCTGCAGATCGCATAAAATCCCAAACCCTAAACCCTTCCCCTAAACCCTAAACTCTGATTTTGGAGTGCTTATGCTGCAGAGCTAATAGGCCTGAACAGAGGCTGCGCTTGATCTTGTCTACCCAGAAAAGTTCAAGAGGAGAATCTGGGTTCAGGGTTTGACGGCCACGATTCGCGGAAAACAGCTGGAAGTAGGGTTTAGGGTTTAGGGTTTAACGGGCAGGATTCTCGGAAAACAGCTCGAAGTAAAGTTTAGGGTTTAGGGTTTAGGGTTTAGCACTTACCGTGGACAACACGTTAATGCTCAGCCGCGGATCAGTACTACAGCGGTACAAAACCTTCTCCGCCGCCTCAATGGTATCGCAGGCCATCAGATCCGGCTGTAGACCACACAGTAAACCCTAAACCCTAAACCCTAAACCCTAGGATCTAAACCCTCAGCGCCATGAGCGCTAAACCGAGCCTGCAAAGCACTGCAGCCCCTCAAAAGCCAAGCGCCCCCGCCCTTGCGCTCCTGCCCGCCCTGGACCCTAAACCCCAAACCCCAAACCCTAAACCCTTAACCCTAAACCCTAAACCCTCGCTTGCCTCGAGCATCTGGACGAGCGCGAGTGAAAACCTGAAGAGAGCCATGCTGCCCTCGAACAGAAGAGCCCCCATGATCCTCAAGACGAAGTCGAAAGGCAGCAAACGGGCGAAGGCGTCTTGCAGCCCCCGAGCTGTCCAGGCCGGAATGTCCACCCCCAAGTGGCGCATGTGCAGGAAAAGACGC